CATTCCTGCATCCTCGGGTTTCCCCATTTAACGCTGCTCTCTGGCTAATTTCAATAAGGTATGCCAGGCCTCAGCACTCTCACACGCACAGAAAAAAGACACTTTGCTGGGCTCTGAATTCAGAATCTGCACCCTGCGAACAGAATGAGCCAGCCAAGGGACTTACAGGTTTTAAAAACAATAATCATCTAGAGAGCAGCTTAGTAATCCCACTTAGTTGGGATGATTCTGCCATTCACACAGATTTAAATTTTCTGTTACATTTAGAAAAGAAAAGTGACTTCAAGCTGATCCTTGTGCCTTACCCTAGATGCCCGAAAGAAATGTCAGCTCTAGTTTAGATCAACACTGTGCTACACCAGGTTTAGTTTCCTGACCTAGAAAAGTCTTTATGTATTACAGTAATGGGTGAGGCAGCCATAGTCACAGTGAAATCTTTCATTAGGAGATAAGAAACTCAGAAAATGTACTACTGCAGCAAACAAACACGTTAAATGAGGATGTGCTACAAAGTGGGTGGTGTTGTGTCTAATTGTAATGGAAAATGGCAATGTAACCATTTATATAGACCCTTTTGCTTGAAGGCCTTTTGGCACTACTGATACTAAATGTAAACCAGAAATCTTAAAAACACAGATGATGTGGCTAAGTAATTCCTGCTATTAATGGAGCTTAAAAACCTGCTTCCTTCCCCCAGACTAGATTGCTTTTTAATTTAAATGAAATTTATGCTTAGCAATGCATAGGCAGATTGTTAAGTTTCAAGTCAATGGTGGTTTACACCGAAAAAATAAGCCACTTCCAAGATTAGAGATTACTGCAGCCAGAATCATACTTACCTAAACTGTTCTTTCCAAGACCAAGTAAAAGAAGGGAACTCAGTTTCCTTATATCTGAATGGGAGAGGGCTGCAGACGTTTTCAGTCACGCACCAAAGAGGACTGAGTATGAACAAGAGCACTAGACATATTTCCAAAGCTTGTGAGAAAAGCTGGGCTTTGTAGCATACCTTGAAAGCTGGAAGAGCTCAGTTCAAGCGAGGCAAACTCCCAGGCAGAGGGGCTGTCACAGAAGACCCCTGCCAGCCACAGCCTCATCTCGTTCGTCGTGAAGGAGGGTGTCACTGCTGATGTCACTGCAGGTCGTCCCTCTGGCAACCAGCTTCCACGGTTTGGGTGGTCAGGGGGTGGCACCGGGCTGCACACCCGCACCAGGGCACAGGCGCCTGCAGCAGGCAAGGAGCTGCTGCAGAGGGATGGGGAGGTCCTGGAATTCGTCCAGTGGCAGCTGGGAGAGAGCCAGCACAAACTGTGTAAGCAGCAACAGGAGGCCTCCCACCACCGGCATCACGCTTATTTCTGAATTATCTGCGTGATGCTGAGGCTTGGCTCTCTTGCTGCAGTGCCAAATTCTTGGTCAGCAGAGCTAGGCCTCAGTCACCAGCGCTCCTTAGCATGTGCTTAGCTTCAAGGACACCAGTAGTCCTTTTGACTTTACCTTAACACGAGGCACGTCCTTAGGTAGCTTATGGAACAGGGACTATGTTAGGCTGTGTACCAAAAGCCACCGAACTAAATGAAAGCCCCTCTTACATCTTGCATTAGACTGCACTTGCCTCACCAGCCCTTAGCAGTAGTATCTTTGCCTGATGTTTGGTCTCAGAAGTCAGTGTCTGCTCCTTGTCCTGCTGGTCAGTAGGAACTACATAGTCTTCTCCAGACTTCTGAGGGTACATGGAATACAAAAAGTAAAAAGTGATCTGGTTTGAGTTTTGTTTTATATTGTTTTTGGGAAATATCTGTTCGCATGCTTTTGTAAATCTGTGTAAAACTTTATGTACACAGAATATTGCAGATTAGTGGTAAACTGAATTCAAACATCTTTAAAGAAAATTAATAACACTGTGTGAAGGCACATGCTTGAATGCTGTCTGGCTTTTGTCATGATCGCATGCTAGAAGCAGAGGCATGTCAGTAGATGAAGTAAGGCTTTTTCTATGCCAATAGCAGGCTAGTTGATTACTGATTTCTGATCTCAGGCAGGAGACAAAATATCTGCGTTTACATATAAAACAGGTACATGGCAACTGTCAGTCATCAGTAAGATGCAAGTAACTGCTTTTCACCTGTTCTTCCAACATAATATGACACATACGGTGTAGCCAACTTTCATTTTTACTATTAAGCAGTATTTTGAGTTTACATATTGCAATAACTAGCAAGCTTATCTATATTGTTTGTCAAACATTTCTTTTACAAATTAGCAAAGGGAGTACAAGTATGTTAAATGACAGGTGTTACATTAACAACAGATACAGCCCAATAAGCTATTCCCAGCTAAGCTATACTAACATTAAAGTAAAGTTGGCTGTATTTATTTGAAAAGCATCTTCTCACTTCCAATCACTGTGCCTCCTGCCACTGAAAAATTTCTCAAAAAAAAAAAAAAAAGGAGACTTGTCTTATTTTGGGCATCTTATTAATTGCTGGCCAGCATCGAGTCTTACTGAGAGGATGCCGATGGCCAGTGTTTGGGTCCGTGGGTCTTCTTGACCTTGCTTAGCTAAGATAGGGCGCACAACAGAAATCCAGACCTCTGTTAACCACCAACATCCCACTCACCACCCCTGTGTTGCGGCTACCTTATGACTGGAAAACGTGCATAGAGTTTCTAGGCGAGGAACTTATTGCCATCCAAGTTCGCCCTTCCATTCCACGGTTCTGTCTTTATAATGCTTTTCTTTATGTTGCTTGAATTGATTTTTGCTGGCAAAAGGCAGCATTTAATAAACAGTCTTCTAAGCTTCAGGCATCCTGAAACACGTACATCACGCCAGGTGCCTACAGAACATTTATTGCCAGAGTGTTGCAGAAAATAAATGACAGTGTAAAACTAAAAGGAAGCAATCTCAAAAGTTGCCATGTGTTTTGGGTTCCTTATTGGTTTGAATCCTTGGCCTGTTTAACTTTTATTCTCTTTTATAGTATGACAGTAGCAGGTCTTCAGGGAAGAATTTGAGAAACAAAGTATGAAATGCACTTTCTCTGCTATCAGAACTTTAATCTTCTTGATCCAACTGCTCCTGGACCACACTGGGTAGTAGTCACCAATGGACCTCCATCTGCTTTGAGCCTATCCAGATTTTTTTTAATTCACATTAGCTCTGGCCTCCACAGTTACCTGCAGCACTGAATGACATGGTTTAATCATGGTCAATGTAGAAGAGTACTTTGTTTTGTTTCCACTTGCTTTCAGGAACTCTATTCCAGACACATGGGACCAAATATTCTAATATACAGCTCCCAGTGAGTTTGTGGGGGTTATTACCCACTTTTTGTGAAAAATGCTATCTAGGAGCATAATTCTCCACCATCTGATACCCTGTGTAATCAGTTGCCAAGTGTAAAATGTAGACAAGTCCAAGAGACAGGAGAGGCCTGAAGAAATAGCACTTTGCATTCACGTTGCATAAGTGTAACTGACTGCCTAAAACATGATGCAATAAGAAATTAAATTTAAGCTGTCTCAGAGTGGGTATCCAAAATCAGTAGATTTATAAAGGACCACATTTCAGCTTCTTGAAGAAAATACAGAAAGGTGCAACTAAGTAGCTGGGTCCCAGAGAAAATATACTTGATTTTTCCAGTACTTTTTACTCCTCATGCACAGAGTCAGGAGCAAAACTAGAACAAGTCCCACAAATCTCACAATCCCCACCCAACAAAATCCCCTTCAAATGACAGTAAAGCAATAGCAAGATCAAGTGCTATGCTGCTCCCAAGAAAGGTTGCTCCAGGGTGACTTGACGGATGGCATCTTGCTTACACGGAGCCCACTCCAAGGCCAAGTGTAATGGGATGGTTTTGTCTCTTTCCTGTAGGTGATAGCAGTAGCTGATTGCCGGCCCCACAGGACAGAAAAGCCGCAGCCCCACCATGGCGATCTCCTCCAGGTGCTGTACAGAGATGATGAGGTGTGGGGCTTGGGCCACCTGCCGAGTGGGCAGCAGGCACCCTGCCCTGCCAAATGCACTGCCAAGCACAGTAAGTCCTCAGATATGGCTTTATTGCTCAGCCGTCTCCATCTCAGTTGCTTCAGGACATTTTTAGCCATTGCAGTCCTGTAGTTTGCATTGAAACAGACATTTTGTTAGGTGTCTAAAGGAGTCTTCCTTGCTTAAAATGTCCAGTGATGTTAATGAGATAATGCTCCTGGCATTGCAGAGCTCTGCTCACTGGAGGAGGGAGCTAATAAAGCAGCACTTGCTTTATTCAAAGTCATAAACTTTCCCTTTCCAAAAGCTGACAATATTGTACAGCTGGAGATGATAAATTGCTTATTACTGAGTTTGCCTGATTCATCTCATTACATAAGATCTCTGTGCAGTTGCTTAGAATTTTGCCAGAACATAACTATTTGGGATGAATGTTTACATTCTTGACGTTAGCCTCAGATCTGATTTTTTTTTTTTTTTAAACCAAAACTCTATCTGCATGTTTTTGAGAACCCGTCAAGGAAAAATAGAATTCGCCAATACAAAAACAAGCAAATGAATAAACATAACTAGAATGGTCGCTTAGTTCCTTCAAATTTGAGGCCTTACGTTTGAAGGGAAGAAGCTGGAGCAGGCACATGAAATTTGGCAAGGGGTGGCTTTTTCTTTTTATCAAAAACACACCTTTTGCTATGCCTGTGAAAAACCAGCCAGATACAACCAAGTTCTAAGCCTTGGGAAAAAATCCCATTTGGCACATGTTTGGCAGAGAGAGGGGAAGTTTAGCTGTTAAATGTGTCAAACAGATTCTGTCATGAATGAGCATGTTCTTCACACCACCAGTCTGCAACTGCACTGCTCATAAGCCATCTGATTTGAACACACACTAGACAGGAGCAGAGCCTGGGAAACTAGGAAGGAGCATACTGAGCGTGGGACCATAAGGAAAGAGCTAAAACTGGGATGAGAGCCAAGAAATGGCTGAACAAAGAGCCAAATGGCTTAGGGGCTGGAAGGAGGAACAGAGAAGGGGTAGCTGCGACTGGCTGTGGGGTAGTGGGCAGCAGAGAGCCAGCATGGGAGAAAGGAGGGACTTCTGTTTCCCCAGTATAATTTCTTATTCTCCAGAAGATTATGAAGCTGCTCTTTTAAATGTTTGTGCAAATGATGACCACAGTGATCATCAAAACAGAAAAGCCCATGAAAAAATTAATAGTCCTGTTCTCAGAGGAGGATTCACTGGTGGAGAAACTAGGTATAGGCCCATGTATTGAACAAGAAAAAAAAAAAAAACAGAAAAAAGAGGATGAATAACTACCCTCTGAGTGAAAACCATCCATATGGTGCCTTGAATGAAGCAGCAAGTCTGTGGAAAAATAGTTTGCGGTCATAATTAGGGACTGAATCATAATGTCTAGATCCCTGGGGCTGAAATAACCTTTCTTCAGTTCTGCTGTTTCATAACTTTTGAGTGCCTGACTTTACAAATTTTATATTTTAGGGGGAGAAGAGTAGAACTGTTTATAAATATTTGCATATGAATAAAAATAGGTCTCTTTAGTATGTCACGCTACAGCTTCAGGTTTTAGTAGTCACTGCACCAATAAATACCTATGAGAAAAGAATGAGGAGCCATGAAAGAGCCTAGAAAGGTTTCTCCAGCTGTTTCTCAACCAGAAAGGAAGCCAGCACAATCTGATACAAAATGAGGTATATATATTTGTCCCAGGATATGCATGATCTATTCTCATTTATCTCTGTGCTAATGTGAGCGCTACATAAATTTCATCCTTAACAGACATCCTTCAACTTCCTCACTGGAAACAGGTTTATATCTGTAATGTTTTCCAGGCTTCCCTCATAGATGAGTCCTGTTGAATATTAAGGGAACTTAATCTGGGCAATCACGTTAACATTTAAACTTTGAAAGTACGTAAGTGAAAAATACAGGGACAAGAGCAAAGATGAGAGCTTCAGCAAGCTTGTTGCTGGCATTGGAAACCCAATAGAAATATCAGCGCTCCGTATCAGTATTAGGCACAAGGACAGTCCATTCCAGCATGCAGGAAGGCAAGTTAGTGTACTAGGTGGCCAGCATGGATGAACAAGAAATTCCTGACTGAGCTCAAACACAAGAGCAGTGCTTTGCTTCACAGGGTGGAGAGATGAACTAAAAAAATGTATTTACTTATTCTTCAGTTTTAACCAGGAAACAAGCATTCTCTTTTCTTATCTTGGAGACATAAGGCAAGTCGGAACAAATGATGTGGAGTAACTCCCATCCCATGCTTGGACATCCACAGCATCTTCTGGAAGTGGAATTCACAATGCAATTAGCCACCACTGTCTTAATAAGCACTGATAAACTCAAAACCATGAGGACTTACTTTTACTTAAATATTTTGCTGAAACTTTGCCAGAACATTTTCTATATCTAATAAGAAGATGGATATGCTGAAGGGAAGATTCATACAAAATAAGAGCAACACAGAATAAATAAAAAGGTGGACATTAGCTCAAGCTCTGATGCTCAGAGCCACCTGCTAAATACTGTTAGTACCTAATCTACAAGATGAGAGGGAGTAATTGAATTAAACTTTGACGTCAGGGATACTGTTAGGTATCTAATGGAATCACTGGGCTGGGCTAGGAAGAGGAAGGCTAATTAAGATATTTATCATGGTCAAATATCCCCCCCGAAGTGAGCAGACGATTCTGACTGCCAACTCACACTGGAGACAGTACTATAAACAGCGCTCCTGCTATTTCTGATGTTTCTCACCATTATTTACACTCCATGGGCAGCAGTAGTTCTGAATCATATTCTTTCGTATACCTTCAGGAATGCTGGTATTTCTGTAGATACTTGCTATTCGCTAACTTGAGTACCATTTTGAAAACAAAAGAGAACTGAAAACGGCCAGGAACAGAAAAACAACTTGAAAAGAGATCAACAGTCCCACAACCAAATGGGAGAATTTAGCTCCATGAGAAAAAAATTTGGAAATCATGATTCAGTTATTTCCTTGTACAACTAGCAGAAACATCAGCAAGCATTTAACCGTGAATACGATAACTTCGCAACTGAGTACTCACTTATGGTTGAAACCTAACCTGAAGGTTTGAGGACAGCACAGAAAGGTACCATTCAGCAATGGGCAGACAGAAAGGTCTCCCCCTTTGACAGGATGGACGCAGCACACGTTGCTCTCCAGTTATGAGTGCCTCCTCCAGTCAATCCAGAAAAGCAAATGACCCATCTCCTCTTAGATAGGACAACCCTGGCAGTGGGACTCCAAGGCACATGGAAACTCTGTTACCCAACCTCAGCTATGGAGCAGCAGCTGCATCTGCTCTTTTTATGTACATATATAAGTGTTAGCAGTGGGTAAAGGCTCCCACATTTGGCCTGCTAAGGACAGTTCACTTTATCATTTCAAAAGTCTAGGTCTAACTTCAAGCAGTCAAGTTGATTTTTCCAGAAATATTTAAGCAATTCCAAAATCACTTATTTTGACATCACACTAGATGGTCACAATGAGGAAAAACTTTTGCATTTCTAGCTATAATAAAATCTAGGGGGACTATAATCTGAATCTTAGCTCTTTTCATATCTTGGCTTAAGTGCATGAAAGGATACTTTTAATACAAGCTGTGCCATGGGAATAGTTACCGATAATGCCATGTCTCTTATGCTTTGCAGTGGGAATTCCTCAACAAGAGTCATCCAAGTCCTGCAGTCACCAGTCAGATAGAAAATCTTTGGTAAGTAAATACAGTAAGACCAACTACCACTGTCTGATGCATTTTAAATCCTAGTACCTGTTAATGGGTTCCACACTAACAGTATGTCTGTCTGTAGCAGTACTTAGAGAATTTCTCAGTCTTCTTTAAGGCTTTGAGATTTGATGTGTGCCAAAGCATCTTTAGGTGGGAGCCACTGACTGGCACAGGACTGCTGCCCTTCAGGAAACAGAGGCAGCATTGTAGGATGGACGCAGCCATGCTCCCTTTCTGGATTCTCACCCACTTGCATAGAAAGAGCCATGCAAGACTTGGCGGCACTTAACTTTGCGTTTCTCAGAGAATTTCACATATTAGGAAAACAGTATCTTTCTAAAATGGAATAAACAAAATAATTCCTTTTTTTTTTTCCAATACATCATTGTGAAAAAATAATCATCTCAGATCAGTCAAAAACGTCAATAAGGAGTCAATAAGGAAATCCTCATATAACAATTGAAATTTCACTTTGTAACGGAGAGAGAAAAAGGTTTTGGCTAAGGAAGACTCAGCTTTACTAAAATGTTTTCCTCCTGTTTTTCGTATAAAAAATCAAATTCAAAGTCACTGCATTTTATAAAAACTTGATTTTCAAACCAAAAATAGCCCTTTGAAAAGTTTCTGACTAACACCACGTGCTGCTATAGAATCTGTATGGCTTCAAATGCTCTTTTAGGCGGCTACAATATACTGGCTAGCTGGACTATGCTCAAGAAAAATGACTGCGCAATATTGAAGGGTGGTTAAAATCGGCAGTATTCAGTGTAATTAAACTAATCTCACCTACCTACAATTAAGCTGGTTAACTTCAAAGCGTATTTACAAAAGCAATTTCAAGTATCTTTAACTCTTACTTCTTGGAATACTTACAGACCACCTAAAAGTATCCAGTCTCATATCACTCCCATGAGACTTAAGGAAATTGATTCAAGAATAGCTGAGCTGTCACGTATCAGTGAAAATAATACAAACAAATTTTTCAGGTTCCCCAGTAAAATCAGCAGTAGTGATTATTACCTGAAATGACCAGAGCGCATCACAATTCTCACTTGTTTTTTTCTAGTTTATGGTAACCCACACCTTAGGTACCATCAAAACGCTTGCAAGGATAACCTTGCAAGCTTCAATGGCCTGCTCGTGAGAAAAAGCAACTCACTTCCAAGGGAAAATTTATGATCAAATCAAGAGGACAAGAGAGAAGTCAGGATAACTTGATGATTACATACTTTTGTGGGAACATGACAGAGCTGAGGTTTGAGCCTGGGCCTCCCGCACCACAGATCAGCACCCCACAGAAGAGGAAAACCTTTTAAAATGGTTAAGAAATTGTGACAGTTTTTGGAAAGCCACTTCTCATCCAGCTGTAGAAGTGACCTAGGAAGAACTGCCAGAGGCAAGCCACACACTCAGTTTGTACAAAAGCCTCATTTCCCTGGGAAACCAGGCTGAAAAACCTGGTCTGCAAACTTCCCACCTCAATTCGGAGGAGTAATTCTTACTCATTTAAGCACTTTGTTGAACTCAGTAAAACTTCACAGTAACAAACAGTATTTGTGTCGTTAAGAGATCAACAGTCTCTTAGCCTGCTTTCTCATCTTGAGAGATTTACAATATTCATTCATTTTCCTAAAACAACCTCTTTCCTCAGATTGACCTTAAGCTCCAATTCCTCAGTGCTCCTTCCTAATGACATGCTTTTTCCTCCAGCAGTTTCCAGCGTCGTCTGTTACCCATATCACAGCGAAACAGGCAGCTGTCGCAGAATCACCCACAGATGACAGCACTTTTACGGAAGAGTAAGTCCCTTTCTATTTCTCCAGCCATCCCTAATGAAACTGTGCTCAGGGGGCTGCCTGTCAGGAAAAGAACAGGTGACCTCAGCTGCAGGTCACCATCTCACCAGGAACAGAAAGAATTCCTCAGCTGAATATTTCCTCTGAATCAGAGTTATCAAACTTCAGTGATTTATAGTGGAGAAATATTGCTTGTTTCCTAAAATGGAGAGAGGGGTTGGCTAAAAAATATGTTGATTATATCATTAACTATGGTGACTGTTATGCTTCTGTTATATCACAAGGAAAAAAGTGTCTAAATCCAAAAGTAGTCTATAATATTTGCTCTAAGGCAGTTTAGAAAATGTAATTAAATATTTTCAAAACAAAAAGAACTACTTACTTTGTTTCTAAAGTGTAATTAAGGATGAGTTTGACCACAGTATAAATTCATCTCTATAAATACACAATTAACCCGAAAACAGATCTGGGTGATGTCTAAGATGATGCCATTGCTACTTTTGCAAATATACCTTTGCAAATGGGCTGTACTTAGTTTTTCAGTGGCTGCTCATCATAAATATGCTATAGTTACAAGTTCATTATCACAGTGTCCTTGCACTTCATACCCAAAGACATAAACCTTCAGCTGGCGTAAATCAGCATAGCTCCCCACAAACAGATGGAGTTCGCACTACTTCAGCTCTGGCAGACCGTCCCCGCTACAGAGATTTCACAGTCTTAAAGGGCTTTGTCCGAACGGCTGAGCTTTTCTCTCATACCATGTGGCTTTCTGTCTGGTGGTAAACATTACTCAGGACACATTTAGTACTGGGCTCTAATTACAGCCCAGACTCTCATCTGAGCAATCACTCTGATAGTAAGGGAATGAGGAGCACGAGGCAGAGCTGGGGCAGGGGCGACTCGCCAGCATCCTCCCTCCTGGCTTCCAGGCTGAGCGCCCAGCACAGACCCTGCTCACTCCTGACTTGTTGGTCCTAGGAAGAGACCAGGTACAAATGCACCTTTGCAAATGGGCTGCACTTAGTTTTTCAGTGGCTGGTCATCATAAACATGGAAGAAGGACCACAGAGATAAATGCTTTATGCCCTTCTGTGCTTTATTTGCTAGTCATAAACAGCACTTGAGGAAGACCACAGAATACGACCTGACCCTACCACCAGGAGCAGAAGCTTCTTTACCTCTGACAGGAGGCAACCTGTGTGGGACGCCCAGCCTCCTGAGGAAGATGTTGATGAAGCACAAAAAGAAGTCAGAGTATCTGGGAGCAACAAACAGTGCCTTTGAGGCAGACTGATAAGTCTCAGCATCACTTGGAAAGACAGAAATTCCTTTAGCCAGAACAAGATGCTTTAGTGTTGCTGTGGAACCGACACAGCACAGCTCATCCAGGGAAATGATATCATTTTTATTACTTGATGCCATTCTTTCAGAGAGAGGATAACTAAAGTAAAAAAAAAAAAAGTGAATATGATGTGACTCACTAGCCTTTCTTTGTTGTGACATACTAGAATCCCAAACATTCCAACAGATTGATGTCTTGACTCAGTGATGCTGAAACTCTTGCTGACACATTTACCATTTTACATGTCCTGTCTTAATCAGCTCAGATTCACAATAAGAAAAACCTACCAAGAAGTTTGCAGAAATCTGCAAGATAACAGATCAATTACAGAGTGCCATTAAATCTCAGGGGCTTGTTCGTTATGTACCACTGCTTGTCCTTTTCCCCTCTCATACCCTTTCCTCTGAAGTGTGAGTTAAAAATTGCATCTTATGATATGCTTGGTTGACTGACATATGCTAAACATGTTTTTTCTTCAGTTTTGATGTTTCAAGACAGGAGTGAACAGATGCAAAAATGGTAAAAGAATGGGTGAGTCAGAACTTATTAAGTTTGCAAATACACATTTACCAAATTTTGCTATGTGACAGATGAGTGGTGTTATAAAGTGTCCTGCCAGATCAACTGTATAAGCAATTGAGTAACCCAGGAGATACTTTCTTCCACAGAACCTGCGTATATGTTAACTAATAGCATCAACTTACTAGCTACCTGTCTGGTGTAAAATATTTCACCAGGCACACAAGGTGCTAGGAGGAAACAGAAGCTATGTAAATGGTGCAACCAGACAACTCAGTGTGAGATGGTTGTATATAGGAGACCTGAGCTTATCAGCTGATAAGATCTGCAAGATAACAGATCAATTACAGAGTGCCATTAAATCTCAGGGGCTTGTTCGTTATGTACCACTGCTTGTCCTTTTCCCCTCTCATACCCTTTCCTCTGAAGTGTGAGTTAAAAATTGCATCTTATGATATGCTTGGTTGACTGACATATGCTAAACATGTTTTTTCTTCAGTTTTGATGTTTCAAGACAGGAGTGAACAGATGCAAAAATGGTAAAAGAATGGGTGAGTCAGAACTTATTAAGTTTGCAAATACACATTTACCAAATTTTGCTATGTGACAGATGAGTGGTGTTATAAAGTGTCCTGCCAGATCAACTGTATAAGCAATTGAGTAACCCAGGAGATACTTTCTTCCACAGAACCTGCGTATATGTTAACTAATAGCATCAACTTACTAGCTACCTGTCTGGTGTAAAATATTTCACCAGGCACACAAGGTGCTAGGAGGAAACAGAAGCTATGTAAATGGTGCAACCAGACAACTCAGTGTGAGATGGTTGTATATAGGAGACCTGAGCTTATCAGCTGATAAGCTGAATGGGATTTGCTGAAAAAAAAAAAAAAAAAAATGGCTGATTCTTCTTTCCAACTTAGAAATAGCTGATCATAGTCCCTTGGTTTTCCCTATCAAAAGAAAGTTATACAATATATTTCAGCAATGTTAGAGGCAATATTTTATTAGTCATGAATAATACTTGCCTCATAAGTTCTCTCCTAGTTATTATAAAAGAATTCAGTTTGTCTAAATACAGAACCTTAAATATAAAATTGAGAGAAATGTGCCCTCTGTAGCTCATAGTAATGATAATCTTTTCTAACCAAACTGCCAGGGCTCCAAAACCTTAATGAAAAAATAAAGGTCATACTCAGAGATAGGCGTGGAAGAAAGAAGCTCCAATATGAAACTTGCTTGCCTGCAGCCAGAATAGTAAAGTATTCCGAGATACCGTCATATACGGTGCCAAGGTACCAACATGAAGAGCACGCACAGCATCAGATAGTCCAAATTGTGCTACTGCAACAGGCAGTCTTAATTGGAGTTACAGTTTCTTCCCCTTTTACAAGAACTGCTTGGGTAGTTTCTGCGTTTGGGATAATTTCTGCTGACTTCATCCACTGCCTATGTTAAGATCTTCTTCAGACTAGACTTAGAAAAAAACATATTCCCAGTTTCTCTTACAGAGAACATGGAGGAAGCCTCAGATTACATCCTATAGAGCTACAGATTTGGGCAGCTATCCACGGATAACATCCCTAGCACACAAGACATGATCAGACAATTCCTTAACGAGGACCAATCAATCAGCACTAAAAAGCAAGATGCTCGTGGGCTCATTTACATTTTTTTAAGCAAAACATCCTTGGGTTGGTGGGGTTTTGTTTGTTTTCAGATCCCTAAATGATTATCAAGAAATGGGATTCTAAATTACAGGGTAGCTGCTTAGTTTCCCCATCTACCAACAGCAGAAAAGAAAGGAGCTCTCCCTGTTTCTTATATGAATTAAAGATGCTCCACCACAGCGGGCTGGCCAGGGAGGACAGAGCTCCTATATTCCAGTTACTGGTGTCAGGGGTCGCCAGCTGAAGGCAGCCACGTGCAGCCTGCTCAAGAGGGAAGGCTGCTGAAGCAACCAGGTCTGTTGGCTTGAGGGGTGAGCGGAGGGAGCAGCACCCGTAAGAGCTCACTGCTCGACTGCCTGAAGCACTGAGGTGCACGTGACGCAACAGCAGCTGGTGGGGGCCGGTGTCCAGCTGCCATACAGAGCTAACATCCCCAGCGGCGCCAAGGAGAGCAGTGGATGACGTCAGGGTGGATGCGTTGGAGAAGAAGATGGAATTACTCAGTTTAAAAACATGCCAAGGCTTGTCATATTGCCTGAGCCGACTCCAGTCGCTCAACCCAGAATCTACTAAGGAGGACTGAGGAACTAGGCCTTCATAAAATCTCACTGTCTGCCTCACGTCCAAGTTTACGTCACTGCTTCAGTCACAAGCTTTTCCTTTAAGAGGTGCTCAGGAACTCTCACCAATGGGAAAACTTCACAGCTAGAAACCACATAGCCTCCAGTGCAGCCTCTCCCCTCCTTCTTACCAGTAGTCCTTCTTTGGCCCAACAGCCAGACAGACGCTCAGCCCAGAGGCGTAATTTCCTCTATTGCTTTTTGTTCTTCCGCCAGAGGAAAGAGAAGGACCCAGCAACTTGTGCGCTGCACGCAATCAGCAGCGGCCTGCCGCCCGGCACTGAAAGGTCACGGCCACTGACACAGCGGGGAGAGAAGGTGGCAGGCAGCACTCCAGCGCTTATGCTGCATCTCTGGCCGCAGCACAAGAGCGCGATTCGGCTGCCTGCTGAAGGCAGCACAGCTGATACGGCACCCACACAGCTTTTTCACAGAGGTGCACTCCACCTTTAAATCAGAGCTTGATACACTTCCCCTGGTGCCCAAACACAGCGTAATTGTGCAGGGTGATGTAACCCTGCCAACATCAGGTCCTCTGCAATGACAGAACAAAAATGGAGCAATTCTCAAGTTTTTCCTGAAATGTCTTTTACAAGTATCACCAGCCACACTGTGCTTCCCAGCACATAGAAAACCTGCCAGGAACTTTGGCCTAGACGACACACAGACGCATACTATTTTTACGCATATAGGTAATCCCACTGTATACGTTAGGACTCCTCTCTTGCATAGCAACAGATACGCTCAAGGAGTAGGGAGAGTAAGGAGTTATCACTAGTTCCTTTTTTTTTTGGTCCCATTCCCTAAGCAAAAAAGGAGAAAACAGACACTGGTAGAAGTCCATTTGCTGAATTTCAGAAAATTAAGAGAGTGAACATTTACGATACCTGAACTTTTAGTTAACCTAACCCACAGACACCCAGCACACAACATAAGGCAGCAAGAATATTGTCAGTTGAGAGCTGTATCTTAGTATTTGATTTTGTTACCTAATAGCTCTAAGCAGTGTGAGGATGGAGGAGGAGAAGAGATGATAAATGCTTCTATCTAACAATTGCTGTATCTTGAAATGTGTATGTATGGTTTTCTTATAACTTATTTTAATTTATAACTTGGATCTCAAGAGAAGCAGAGATTCAAGAAACATAATTACTCTGTATTCTGGGAACTGCTGTGGAGATTTCTTGTATCATAGTAGATAGCTATTTTATTGATTCAAATAAAATATGTCCTACTCATAAAAAAAATAAAAGAAATGTGTAGCATGTGGCAATACATGGGTCTTGGTGACTGTAAAGGTTTTTGGAAGCACTTAATGGAAAATAAAGGTAGGTCTTGCGATGCTTCAAAAACACATACATCTAATAATAGAGAATTCAGCTCCCCTCCCCCCCACAGGAAGGGTCTGGAAGGGTATGTTTGTGAATGGTGCCAATATTTTAGTAGTGGAAGAATCATTGTTTGTTATTTAATATTCAGAGATAAAGCCCTAGGAGTTAGACATCTAGATATGTACTGACACATCTGGGCTCCAGGGCTTTACAGACATGGTATGTAGTCTCCACAGGGCCCTGGGAGGTAAGCCACGGCACTTCTCTCCCACCAGTTATGAACACCAAGACAGAGACGCCTTGAGGCTAATGGAAGCTCTGGTAGAAAACAGAACCAAGCTTCTTCTATCTTCAGTCCTACCAGCCAACCACAAAGTCACTTAACTTACCTCAAGTAGACCACAGCCCTTGGGAACCATATGCTGAACCATGGAAAGCACGTGGACCCAACACGAGGTGGGTCATGCAGGGAGACGGGTGGTGGTGGCCTCCTTCACCAGCCTGAGGTCAGGAATCTGTTAGGGGCTGACCTGCCTCCTCCGCCTGCCTCAGCCCTCCAGCCCATGCACCCAAAGGAAAAGGTGTCACGTTTCTGGTGCTTCGGTTATGGGTAATGCCTACATTTACCATGACCAACTTAGGAGCGTTCTCCTGATGAGTCTGCATCCCGCAGGACGTGGCATGATTTTTTTCCAGGACATGGGGTAACCACCTGGCCTTGGCTAGGAATTCCACAGCGAATACATAATCTTTAATCATTCATTAAAAATATCAGCATGAGCATGGAACAGGATGTGGACATGCAATATACTTTCCAGATGAACCTGTACAGAAAACAATGTTAGCTGAACTTAAGCACGCTGTCAGAAAAGTGTGAAATAGTGATCAAAAAATAAATGAATTGTACCATTTGGTCCATCCAAGATAGAAAAGGAGTTAACTGCGCTGCTCAGAGCATTCCTTCTGGCACTGCCCCCACATAGGCTTATCGTCATACTTTATGGCATATGCAAGAAGATGCATTTTTCAGACACATTTCTTGTTACAATTTTTGATTCTCCAGAACTACAGAGAGAGGCTAACTAAATGGCACAAACAAGACTGAAACAGACTACACGATGCTAGTCCCCTGAGTCTAGCAACAACTAAATCAGTAATCTACCTTTCATTTCCAAAAAATTTGTTCCTAATTTGCCACCATTTCAAAAAAAAAAAAAAACATGAATTTTGTGATAGAGCTACTCATTAAAATATCCATTATTTATTTGCATACCACTTTATTTAAATAAACTGTAGTTTATTTAAAGCTAGGCTACTGTATAAAATAATTCTTACTGATGCATGAAAAAAATCTCAAATATGCTTTCCTGCTTTCCTTCCCCTTTTGCGTTCACTCTACAGACCCTGTAGCAGAGAGTTTGCCAGAAGAGCTGTTCACAGACAGACACATCTGTTTTGGGGAAGAGCGTACACTTCTGCAGAAAACACGTTTTTAACTTAAACATCAGAATTTTCATGATCACTTTCAGATCTCAGACTTACCCACCCAGAAAAGTTGCACGGTCACACAGTTGGCATATGCAAACAGAAGTGAAACAACTCAGTTTCTCAGATGAAATCCCTGCTCATCAAATTGTGTGTGACCTCTGTAAGTAAACAATGCAGATGTCAAA